ATTGGCGTGTCCCACGACCTGTCCTTTATTATTATTATTATCTTTGTTCTGTTTTATTTTAGTTGTTCTGTTTTTGTTTTAGTTTAGTGGAGTCTGTCGTGGGTTGTATAGTGTTCATGTCCCTAGAAAATGGGATCATGCACATATCACAAATCTGCTGGAACTATATCTATTTAAAGAGTCATTGAGTCATGTATTGTTTTATGCTTGGAAATATATTCAGAAAAGGCTAATTACTAGTCAACTTGGAGATCCAGCCTATCTCGAACGAGGCTCCCTCTCTCTCTCTAAATTCTTTTTGTTTTCTTTTTTGTAACCAAAGCCCACAACGGGTCGAAAGACTCGAATTAGTTCTAAGGCGTTGCGAGCCGACGAAGGTGATCGTAACATTTTGGTATCAGAGCCAGGTATGTCCGACGATCGGATTAATCACCTTGAGGTGGAAATCAGCAACCTCTCTGCCTTCCAAGAATGCGGTCATCTCGAAATTCAAGAAATGTTTGCGGCCTTACATGCCCGCTTCGACCAACTTACGGCCTCTAGAAAAGATGATCAAGGTGAAGCTTCCACTGGCCGTTCTTTTGGTCAGAACAGGCCCTCCGAAAACCGCTCGATTATGCCACGACTCACCAAATTGGACTTTCCTAGGTATGATGGCAGCAACGACCCTACGAGTTGGATTTGCCGTTCGGAACAGTTCTTTGAATTCCAACAAATCCAAGCCAACGACCAAGTGACCCTCGCAGCATACCATTTAGATGGCGATGCACAACTTTGGTATCAAATTGCCAAGAAGGAGGAACGAATTTATACGTGGACCACACTTAAAGCCGAGCTCCAAGCTCGCTTCGGCCCTACACAGTTTGAGGATTTTTTTGGCAATCTTACCAAACTACAACAACGAGGAAGTGTTCGTGAGTATCAAACTCAGTTTGAAAGATTATTAACCCGAGCAGGTTCTCTTACACCACAGCAGCAAATTGGGTGCTTTACCAGTGGACTTAAGGAGTCCATTCGAGTGGAGGTACAGGCCTCTCGGCCTCCCTCTCTATCTGCTGCCGTCAGCCTTGCTAGGCTTTATGAAGCAAGGGTCATGGCCGCCAACCGGAGGCCATCCAACTTAAATCAACCGCCAAGAACGCAGCACAATATCCACGTCCCCTATTCTGCAAATTCGGAGGTTCTCACCAACAGAAATCGAGGAATGCAAGCAGAAGGGGTTGTGTTTCCATTGTAACGACAAGTACGGACCCCGTCATGTATGCAAGAAATTGTTTATCATGGAGGCTTGCTGGCCTGATGAAGATGTGGATGTGGAACCTGACAAGCACTCTAACGAGCATCCAAATGAAAGCGAACACCATGAGGACCCACCAGCCATCTCTCTTCATGCCATGTCTGGCATTCATGCTCCTCAAACCATGCGGGTCTTGGGAAAGATTCTTAACCATTTAGCCACAGTCCTCGTGGACTCCGGAAGCACGCACAATTTTCTTAAGGAAGAGTTGGTGACAAAAATGGGTTTAAAACCCGACTTGTGTGGCAGGTTGGAGGTCCAAGTTGCGAGCGGCGAAAGGTTGTCTAGCGCTGGAAAATGCAAGGAGGTGCCCATAAGTCTTCAAGGAGTCCCACTCACTGTGGACTTCTACCTATTTCCCTTAGAGGGTTATGAGTTGGTCTTGGGTGCACAATGGCTGCAGACGTTGGGCCCAATTTTGTGGGATTTTTCAAAGCTCCAGATGCAGTTCGAACTAGGAGAAAAAAAGGTATGCTTGCAGGGGCTATCTAATCCTAGTCCTAAATTTGTAAATGAGACAAATATACACCGAGAGTATCGCCGGCGTAAGGAATGTCTGGTCCTCCAATTGCATGCCATGAATGGAGCGCTGCCAACCACTCAGTCCACTACTCCTGATCCACGCATTCAGTCTCTTTTGAAGGCATTCCCTGATATTTTTGAAAAACCCATCGATCTACCTCCACAAAGAAGCCAAGACCACAGCATACCTCTGTTACCGGGTAGTGCACCAGTTAATGTTCGACCGTATCGATACCAGCATTTCCAAAAAAATGAGATTGAAAAATTGATTAGAGAGATGTTGTCAACAGGAATTATCCGCGCCAGCAATAGTCCGTACTCTTCCCCGGTCATATTGGTGAAGAAACACGATGGATTATGGCGCATGTGCATTGATTATCGCGCCTTAAACAAAATCACAATCAAAGATAAATTTCCCATTCCCGTGATCGATGAGTTACTGGACGAGCTCCACGGTTCTCACTTTTTCACCAAACTCGATCTGCGGTCAGGATATCACCAGATCCGGGTCCGCCAGGAAGACGTGCAAAAAACAGCATTTCGTACTCATCAAGGGTATTATGAATTTCTCGTAATGCCATTCGGATTGAGTAATGCTCCATCTACTTTCCAATCTTTAATGAATGAGGTATTCCAATCTTATTTGCGAAAATTTGTATTGGTATTTTTTGATGATATTTTGATCTACAGCTGTACCTTGCAAGACCACGTCCATCACTTGGATTTGGTACTTACTACCTTGCGGGCTCACCACTTATTCGTCAAAAGGGAAAAATGTACCTTTGGCCAACCACAAGTGCTCTATCTCGGCCACATCATCAGCAAGGAGGGCGTTAGTGTAGACCAAGGAAAAATACAAGCAATGCTAGCTTGGCGGAAACCCGCAACTCTAAAATCTTTACGGGGTTTCTTGGGACTTACAGGGTACTACCGTAAATTCATTCAAAATTAGCCAGACCCTTAACCGACATGCTCAAAAAGGATAACTTTATTTGGACACCTACTGCAGAGGAAGCTTTTGCAAAACTGAAGCTCGCCATGACCACATCCCCAGTGCTTGCTCTTCCCAATTTTTCTCAACCATTCATGATCGAGTGTGATGCATGTGGTTCCGGAGTTGGTGCGGTCTTACAACAGCAGAATAGGCCACTTGCTTTTTTCAGTCAGGCCTTACATGGACGCAACTTGGAGCTCTCCACTTATGACAAAGAGATGCTCGCTATTGTTCTCGCCATCAAAAAGTGGCGACCCTATCTTCTTGGCCGCTCCTTTATCATCAAAACTGATCAACAGAGCCTCAAGTATCTATGGGATCAACGCATTTCCACTGACGCGCAGCAACGTTGGCTCTCCAAACTCATTGGGTATGATTTCATCATTGAGTACAAAAAAGGAGTTGATAATGTAGTTGCCGATGCTCTCTCTCGCCAAAATCATGGTGATATGTATGCTCTCTCACAACCGGTTCCAAGCTGGTTGCATCCCATCCAAGAGGAGACTACATCCGATCCTACTCTACAGCACTTAATCAAGTTGATCAATGATGGTGAAGCCGTGGGTCCATGGCGGCATACCAACGGCGTCCTATTTTTCAAAGATCGGATTTACCTGCTTCATACTTCTGAACTCATCCCTCAAATCATCAAGGAATTCCACACCACCACCCACGAAGGTTTCCATAAAACTCTCCAACGAGTTCGCTCAGTTTTTTATTGGAAAGGGATGCGAAGCGCTGTGCGCAGTTTCATTCAAAATTGTGACACTTGCCAACGTCACAAGTCTCAAACTCTCTCCCCTGCTGGTCTCCTTCACCCGCTGCCTATTCCAACTCAGATTTGGGCCGACATCTCAATGGATTTTGTGGACGGGCTACCACCATCCAAAGGCAAAACGGTTATTTTCGTAGTGGTTGATCGCCTATCCAAATATGCCCACTTCATGCCATTGGCACACCCCTACACTGCTATCACAGTGGCCCAGGTATTCTTTGAGAACGTTTTCAAGCTACATGGCATGCCCGAAAGCATCGTCTGCGATCGCGATCCTACATTTACAGGTGTTTTTTGGACTACCCTTTTCAAACTACAAGTAACTGATTTCAATTTTAGTTCGGCATACCACCCTCAAACGGATGGTCAGACGGAAGTTGTCAACCGTACCCTGGAGATGTACTTGCGATGTATCACTTCAGATCGGCCTAAGGAATGGACCACTTGGCTGCCATGGATCGAGTACATCTACAACACATCCTCCCATAGTGCAACCAAATCCACACCGTTTGAAGTAATCTATGGCCGAACTCCTCCATCACTGCTTACTTATATTCCGGGCACTACTAAGCTTGAAGCCATAGACCAAGCTCTACAAGCTCGGGATGAGATGTTACGGGTGATTCGTCACCGGTTACAGTTGAGCCAAAATCGAATGAAACAACTTTATGATTTGAAGCATCGCGAGGTTGAGTTTTCCGTCGGTGACTGGGTTTACTTGAAGAAACAACCATATCGGCAATCCAGTCTATCCAAACAGTTCAACCAGAAATTGTCACCCAAGTTTTTTGGCCCTTATCAGATCATCCATAAAATAATTCAAACATGCATGCATGGAATGAGCTCCAATTCAACATTAATGAACCAATTCTTGACTTAACGAAAATGTTGTTTCTTTTATTCTTGTGTTCTTGATACGTGCATGCATTGGCGTGTCCCACGACCTGTCCTTTATTATTATTATTATCTTTGTTCTGTTTTATTTTAGTTGTTCTGTTTTTGTTTTAGTTTAGTGGAGTCTGTCGTGGGTTGTATAGTGTTCATGTCCCTAGAAAATGGGATCATGCACATATCACAAATCTGCTGGAACTATATCTATTTAAAGAGTCATTGAGTCATGTATTGTTTTATGCTTGGAAATATATTCAGAAAAGGCTAATTACTAGTCAACTTGGAGATCCAGCCTATCTCGAACGAGGCTCCCTCTCTCTCTCTAAATTCTTTTTGTTTTCTTTTCTGTAACCAAAGCCCACAACGGGTCAAAAGACTCGAATTAGTTCTAAGGCGTTGCGAGCCGACGAAGGTGATCGTAACAGTTCTCCAAAAGTTAACAATCCTTTTTTTTTTTTTTTTGCACAAAACCATGATTCATTCCAAACAAAGAGTGAAATTGAACTGTAGTGTATATATACCTCTTTCAAGAATTTAGCATAATTGCTAAGAAGCAGAGCATCTCCAGGGTATGCGTCAATCATCTTCTGATAATACTCCTCCGTGATGTTATTCCCATGATTTGAATCCCAATACCCAGAACTCCCATCCCCATCACCACCGCCCGATCCTCTTCCTCCTCTTCGTCCTCTACCACCACCACCACCGGTCAAACTTCCACCTCTGCCGTATCCAGCACCACCACCCACAACAACACCCCCCAATTTCCAATCCCTTACCCCAACAACATCACACTCCTCATCAACCACAATCTCATCCAATCCAGAGCCCAAAAACAACACTCGATCCAACGAATCCGATCTCGAAGCAAAACCCTCCTCTCTCTCCTCCTCTTCCTCCAATGAAAGCTCTCTGAGATCGGTCTCCGACATCGCTCTGGTCATCTTCTTTCTCGATTTGTCGATCGGAGAAACTGAGACCATCGAGACAGATCAAGGCTTCGGTATTTGAAGAGAAATGTCCGTCTCTAGCGATGTTGATGACTCTTTCGAATGTGGAAGCCATTCGTTTAGATTCTTCCTTTAGAATAAGCCAATTTTTCTAATAGACTCTTCCTTTCGATTCTTCCTTTTGCAGTGGCTCCTTTCGTTCGTTGTTAATATTGAAGGGGGTTTGGGGCTGCCTCGGCTGATGAAGATTGGGATGGCAGAGAGAGAGAGAGAGGGAGGAAGAGAGAAGATGAAGAGAGTAATAGGGGGTTTGGGATTGGGTCTACAGCAAGAGAATGGGCTCTGATGGAGAGAGAGAAAGAGAGAGAGGGGGAGGGTTGTGTGTTCAAAATTTGAAAATTGAAGCAGAGAGAGATTTTGAGCAAAGAGGAGCAAGTGAGAGAGATTTCCAGCCACATTATCTTGAGCTGAGGTGAGAGACATTTTGAACCATTAGATCTTGATGGTAATTGATCTCAGCCCTTGGATTGAGTAAGACATATTCAGCCCTTGGATTGAAGAAATCTAAAGGTCCAAATTTGGACACATATATTTTCAGTCCTTGAATTCAAACTAACCCTTCCATTGTTATATAGATGTATGATTTTTCTTCTTTGATTTCTATCAAAATCATCACAAACTGTGGAAACAGTAACTGCTTTTTATGAGTATTGTGGCCATATTTTTGGTTCTCTGTTTTGTGTACTTTGTTCCATTAATTAGAGTCAGGTAGCTGGGTTTTCAGCTATTGTGGGATTTTATTGAGTTGACTTTACTACTAGAATCACCTTTTGGCTTAAATTGTTCAACACAAGTTTGGTTCTGTTGCCAGTTTATTTTGAGTCGAAAACAGGACATTTTCTATATACATTTGTTTAGTTTTTAATTCCCCACATGTCTGGTCTGTTGCTGACCCTTATGTCTTAGGTCTAGATCTGGGATGCTACTGGTCTAGTTGCTACAGTTATGTGAGCATTGTTCTCTTCCATCGCTGGCAGTGCTTGGCTTCTCTTTGCTTCAGTTTGTTGATTTCCTTCTTCCTATTTCTTGATAGACCATGGAAAAATTGGAGTTAATATGTCTTACCTTTGGTTTTATACTTCTAGGCCTTGCATGTGACAGATTGGGAAGACGTTTGGGACGTAGTGGTAGGTAAGCTCATGATTGCTGCTTTAATGTTCATAATTATGTTGTTTATGATATTTGAACGATTTTTACTTCTATTAACTGTATGTTAACAATTTGGTGTAGCTGATTAAAAAAAAAAAAAAAAAAAAAATTTGGTGTATTTGAAGCCACTTGAAAAAGAATAATTGTTATTGATATGTAGAAGCATTCAAAAAGTCAACTCGGAATGAAAAACAGCAGTTATGACTACCGTTGCCTATCTGGTGGTGTCTTTATAGTGTGTTGCCAGTGTTGTCTGTCCGCAACAACTCTGTTTTTAAACCAATGCTTAAACTTTCAATTGGATTAGACTCTTTTTTGGTCCTTATTCTCTAGCCGCATAGGAGATCTTGATGAATCTTGTTCAGTATGTTTATTCTGAAGGCTATTGTCCTTTAAGCACCCTAGACCAGCAAGTTACTGAAAATTGGCGAGTGTGTGGCGTCAGATGCTGAACCAGGCCATGCTACTTTTTGTGCAGCTCGTCTGGAAGTACATTCATAGTGTCATAAAACATATTGACATGTCCTATTTTGTCTACACATTTTATAAAGCATGTCTCATTCTGCAATTTTCTTTTGTTTGTGCTGGGCAAAAATTCAAAGTTACCATGATATGTTCCTGAAGAACTACAAAGAGCTTGCTAGCAAGAGGAACTGGAAGCAGCCCCTTCTTGGTAAGTACCCAACTTTAATGTGCTATTTCTTTTAGTATAGGGGTATTCATGGACTGGGTTGGTTTGGTTCCAACGTAAACCAAGAACCAAACTGGTCCTTATGGCTCCATAAATTTAGAAACCAAATCAAGCCATGAAAAACTGAACCAGAACCAAACAGCTAGAAGTGGTTTGGCTCCACTTAGGTTCTAGGCTTGAAAAGTAATCACTATATCTAGATTATCCAGGTTAATAAAAATTGATTTTTCCTTCCTATACAAGTACTCTAAAATTTTCACAAGCATACTTCAAATTTTTTTAATATTCTCCAAACTAACCTTTAGAAATACATAAAATAAAACAAATTCATATTATATAGTGATTACACTGATCTTGAAATCTTTGACAAATTGAAACAAACCAAAATGAAAGACAAAAGTATACCCATTTCACCTCTGCTTTCTTCTCCTTTTTTCCTGTGTTCATTCTTTTGTTGAGAGCTTCAATGAAGCAGAAGACATCAAGGTATGACATTTTGGACATATGCTTATTATATTATGCTAATGAACATGTGAAGAGGCAGTTCCTTGTACACTTGCAAGGTATGGCATTTTGATCCATTGCAAAAGCAATCTTATTATTTGTTCTTTGTTTAGAGACACTCATTTCTATTGTTCTTTAGATGAGGCTGAGGCTGGGTTGGAGTGCCTTCATCAATCTACAAAGAAAGAGCTACAACTGTACTTGAATGTAGATGGGCCATTGAAAGACTCCAATGAGTTCCACACAAAATTAGCAAGACTGGCCAGGTATTTCCAATATTTTTTTTTAAACTCTAGTTTTATTCTGCGTAATATGAACCAAATTGAAATGCCTAGTGAACAATGCAAGGGATAGTGAATTTGCTACTGGCAGATGGTGAAGAAAAAGGGAAAATAAAAGGACGGAATGAGACATTGGGGTGGAAAATCAACCCGACAAACACACACAGAGTTTTGGAGTTGGTGCTTCTTTTCAATTGAGATAAACATAAGACATTAGTAGTGTTTTACCTGTCATACATTGGCCAACCAATTCATCCTTCTCACTACTTGTCTTGTGCCATTATATTTTATCACTGGTTAGTTGCAAGCCTTTAAGTCTTAGTTGTTTGATTTGCTGCTTGTTTATCTCAATCCATGCAATATTGTTGTACAAGTTTATGCTCAAAATAATCTTCCTTGAGAATTTTCTTATCCTTATTTCCTGTTTTGATTTTCTTTTCTTTGTTTAATTTTAATATCTAGGAAGCTTCAATGTGATACAAAACTTTTGAAACTTCCCTTCTTCAATCCTAGAAAAATATTATTCTTGGTTGGAGAGAGAGAGAGAGAGAGAGAGCTCCTAGCCCCCAAATGATATGTAGAGTGAAATTGAAAAAGGGATAAGAAAGGGAGAGAAAGAGGAGAGGAAGCTAACTTCGTGACACCCTGAAAATGAGTAGAATATTTATTCTGAAATCTTTCGATCATGCCCTTCCCTTCCTCTTGCAAGTTGGTGATAATCTTTTGATGGCCCAACTCACATGCACTGAAGGCACCACCAAAATCCAAATAACTTCCTTTGTAGGTGAACAAATTCATTAAGGACGGAAATAAATAGGAAGATGCCTTTTCATTATAGAAGCTTTTTGAAGACCTACATCTGGTTGTTGCCTTTTGGTAAGGTTTATAGTCCTGCTGTCATCTGCTTCACCATTTACTGGTTATATCACTAGAATTGTCCTCCCAAGAAGATGTCTTTTTTCAATTTGTCATGTGTTCCTATCTTAATATCTTTGCAATTACACCATGAGATGGCAGTAGAGAGTGCGCGGATTTTTGATATGGATTGTTATTAGGTATACTCATGGGCTGCAACAAAGTTTTCATCAGTTATAGTTTACCGGTAAAAGTTTGTTACTTCTTGTTTACATGTTTGTGGATATATCTTTACTCATGCTCCCTTTTTTCTTTTTCTTTTTTTGACATTTTCAACTTGAGCATAGTTCTTCTGTTTTGAAGTTCCAATTCCTACGAAAATAATGAACCCTTCCAGTTTATCTGTATTTTGCCAAGTGTCATCTTGTCAGTTGAAGTACTGTCTGATGAATATCAGTATAACTAGGGGACCATATGATACCAGTCCCCAAAAATGAGTCATTAGTCCTAGATGACACTGAAATTTAGGGGTTATTTGAGATGATCTAAATAAGTGCACTTTTTATCTTTTTACGAAAAGATATGTAGAAAAGTAAAGAGGTGATGTGATGGAAAAAAGATAAAAAGATGGATTATTTTAGAGTTGCCAAACTTGGCCTTAATTGTTACAAATTTGTCCTACCTATGATCGAGTCTGGTAAGACAAACATGTCTTTACTATACCCCCGTGCACTAATTGTGAATATTATTGAAAAGTAGGCATACCAAGATCCATTTTATTTACTTTTTTCATCTCCCACTTCTTATTCTTCAGTGGCTGAAACCCTTTGCCCTCAACTTGTTGGAAAATTTTATGGTTTTGGATTAATTTGGACTGTGTCTGGAAAAGGTAAAACTAGATCAGCTAAGTTACAATAGCAAAATTTAATGGAAATCATCTAGCTCTTAGTTAATAATGTTTAAGAAATTGAGCTTGAAGCTTAAACTTGAGCTCAGTTTGTTCCAATGCAGAATGAGCGGGGATGTGCTTCTAATTTAGTTACTGCTAAGCTGTTCTCTCTGTATTTGTCTTGCCTTGTAAACAAGTTTCTCTATAATTATGGTTAGTTTTATTTTATTTCACTTGTTTGATTATCAATCTTTTTTCTATTAAAATTCTTGAGGACGACAAAATCCTGATGGTCTTCAAAAGCACCATTTGTAACTGAACAATTTTTGTTGAATATTTTGGGTAGGTAATGGATAAAACCTATACAAACCTAAACCTCATACATAGAGATCCTTTAGCATAATTATGCAAGTTCCAAGTAGATGTTGCATTGAAGTAGATTAATTCCACATCTTCCTCTTTTTAAATTTGATTTTTTTCTTGAGCTTCATATGGTTTGGATTTAGTAGCGAACTACTGAGATCTTGAATTTTTGCTAATTTTCATTATGACATTGCTTTTATGGGGCCATTGAATTATGTTATTAATTTTGGAAATGTTTTGTTGATGTTTTAAAATTTCTTGATAATTTCTTAATACCTTGAATATTTTTGTCCTTGAGTCGTTGGTTTTTGTACTTATGTAAAGTTTCCTTTGTCATGCAGATAAGAAATGTAATAGGGTTAGTTGCTGTAGCTATTGTCACAGGTTTAGGTGTCTTAACACATACATCCTCGTCCTGTGATAGGAGCAAGTGGATTTGCTATAGCTGCAACTGCAACTGCAACTGCTATAGGAATTGTTGTCAGTAGTTTTAGATAATCTCTTAATAGTTGTCGATATGTTTATAAAGTTAGATATGCATAGTTTTGGATGGTTTAACTTTTTGTACAGTTTAGAACTTAAGGATATAGTTTTTGAATGTTTGGAATGTATAGACACTTGTTAAATGTTTATAATTTATGGATATAGTTTTTTTTTTTTATGTTTCAAACAATATTTTGGTGATTGATTGATGTTTTATGATGCTTGTTTGCAATATTTATTAAATTATATAAATTGGTCAAATAGAACCTGCTGAATTTTAAAAAAAAAAGGAAAAAGAAAAAATTACATATTCTACAGCAGGCATAATAAGTCGTCGTATTACATATTTTACGGCACGCAATTAGCGTCGTTGTTTGTCTCATCAATTAATGGCGTGCAAAAGTAGTCATAGAAAAAGTAACAACGACGTATAAAATTTGCTGTTAAATAGTTTTTAACGGTGTACTATAGCATGTCGTAGAAAAAGTAACGACGACGCACACAATCTATCGTTAAATAGTTTTTAACGGCGTACTATAGCATGTCGTAGAAAAAGTAACGATAATGCATAAAATTTGCCATTAAATAGTTTTTAACGGCGTATGAAGCATGTTGTTGAAAGTGAATGACTTTTCATGACTGGTCATAATATGACGCGCGCTGCACGTCGGAGAAGGGTTTTTATGGCATGCATTGCGCGACGTAAAAACTTTTTTTTGCTGTGATAAATATGAATCTGTTTTCTGAATTTGGTATGGATATCATTTATTAAATCCTTTACTCCGTTATTATTCACTGGGCTCTCGCTCACTATTTATATTATGTATGTAAGTGATCAGGTACGTGACCAGGCCTAGAGTTAATGGCCAAAAATTCTCTTTTATCAGCCAACCACCGTGCCTCCCGCGGAGGTTCCTTTTGAGAGGTCCATGTCAAGGCCGTATTTGGTTTTGTTCTATTTATCTGTACTTAGGCTAAGTTTCCTTCTGACTTTATCTGTGTAAATGGGTGACGTAAGACTATTTTATTTATGACGTCACATGAATATATATATATATATAAGTTTGTTTGAAAATTGTCACATATATGTTATCACAATTTAATGGACTATGTATGTTTATATATTGCTTCCGCAGCCCTTAATTATATGTTATACTGTTAAGTGGCCTTTGGTAATCCAAGGATTACTGGCCAGTTACGACGCTAAACCTATAGGGGTGGTTTTGGGTCGTGACATACACATTATTACAATTTTGCCATCATACAAGAGGGGTCCGAATAAATATCGTAACTAATTAAGCTAATTATTACAACGCCACAAATTAACTAACTATTCTATCTAATTAATTAAGTACAATACAAAAATTTAACTAGCTATTTTAACTAATTAATTAATTACAACACAAAAATTAACTAGCTATTCTAACTAATTAATTAATTACATTAGAATTAAGCTAACTAATTATTTACAACATGAAATTTAATTAACTAAGTAATTAATTATTACAAGTGCACTACTGTAGGTACAACATACTACTATTAAAAATAATTTTAACGGTCCTCGAGAAACGAGGAATGGCTCATGCATGAATGCGAATTTTCACCCGAAAATGACCTCTATTTGGCTGCCAAAATGATTCTGTTTTGTAGTCAGAAAATTGAACTATTTTTTCCCAGCCTCTGCTATGTTTTGCAAAGAAAATGACACTGTCTGGCTGAAAATAGGTGGCCGGCAGACCGTACAGTGAAGTGGCTGGCTAGCCACTAGTTTTTGTTACTGCCTTGCTGCAACAGATATAAACAGAGCACAAATAAAGTATTTTCAGGGGATGTTTGTCCACCTTGCCTCTCCTTATCATCAGATAGATCAAAGGAGTGGTAAGCTTGATTCGCAAACCATCAATCGACGCAAATTCATTGCATGATTGTCTGTGAATCAAGGGACAAAATCTCAATAAATGATAATGAAAGACCCGCAAAATCTCTTCCCTATCATAGAATTAATCAAGGAAAGTGGTAGATCTTGAATCCTTAAACCATTATCATCACTAATGAGAGTGACATATTTCAAGACTCAATGGCTTCAATTAACGCCCGATTAAATCCAAACCATTTTATTATCTTATTCCATTTTAGTCCCATTTTATTACCTCTTTTAATTACCTTTCCATTCCTTAGTCATTTTAGTCCAAAAATGAGAATTAAGTCCACTAAAAGAAGGGAAACATCAAACGAGAAGTTGTTTTGGGCACAAGAGAGATGGAATGCCCTGGTAATGAACCTTCAAAGAAATTAAACCATTTAGCATGGAAGGTATCTTTCTCATGTTTAAACAACTCTTGTTTGAAACAACCCTCAAAGAAACCAAAAGCCAAGAAAAGGGGGGAGAGTGCAAAGATGATTATGTATGAACATAAGTATAAAAAGCATGGAATAAATGCTATCAACTCATAGATTAGTGGTTAAGGCCTAAACCTCCAAACCTATGAGGACTACTACACTACAAGCCTCCTAAACAAAGTATAAATGGAATAAACACACTAAAACAGTCCTAAAATTGCTAAAAATAGTGCTGAAATTCTCATGGAAAAGCTTGCAAAAGTTAGCTACAATAACAAAGAAATGAAGCTAGTAAACAAGCATAAAGAGGAATAGCTAACCCCTCCACTTTTGGGACTTCAAAGTCACATTTTTACCCTCTGAAAAACTCTGAAAAATAGTGGTAAAAAGTTGGAAAAAAGTTAAAGAAATGGGAAACACAAGGGCAAAAGCTTAGAAAACAAGGTTCAAAGAAGGGTAGTTAACCCCTCCACTTTTGATAGCTTTAAGCCACAAGTTTCAGCCCATAAAAACAGTCCAAAAACAGTATAAAAACAGCAAGAAAATATAGGAAAAAAGTAGTATAAAGATGCTCGAAGTTATACCTCTTGAAGAGAGATAACTTCTTTGTTCACAAATCAAAAAGTTCTCACTCTCAAGGGCTGAGATTTGACCTTAAGAACCTCAGCAAGAAGAGCTAAATTTTTTGTTTAGGAAGTGCAGAGAGAGAATGTGTAGGTTACAGGATAGAGAGAGAGTGAGAGAGAGAGAGAGAGTGCTATGCAAGTATTGGAGCTTTAGAAATTTTTTGTAACCTTAAAACCAAGAGCGAAAGTCCTCTATATATAGAAAAATATGTTACTATCTCGGAAATATCCATATAGACACAGCTGGTGCAATGCATGCACTTGTGGGAACAGTTGGCACAGCTGGCAACAAAATATCTGTTTTATTGAGAAAAATGGTCGGCCGGCTAGTAGGGAGATGGCCGGCCACTAAAATTGGCCTATGGGGACACCTAGATTTAAATATCTGCCTCTCGAGACATCTAGCCAGCTGGCCATGTAGGGCACAGCCGACCACTAAAAGTTGGCCTGCTGGTCACAAACAACTGCTCTTTAGGCTAATTTCAAATGAGCATATCTTT